AACTTGAGAGGACTAATATCCTTGAAAGATTTGGCCCAGAGTTGTGAAGGGAACACAGTAAGAATATATCCAAGAGGGATAGACTCAGACAGCACAGGACATAATTTTAAAACCTGTTTGCCGGTGGGGGCCCCTCTGTGTTTTATGTGAATACACCTTTCCTAGCAGACCCAGAGAATTTCCTGCACAAAACAAGAATTTTCTCTTGTGTCTCCAGTAGCATTTTGGTTTTGCTTTAACATCTTCAGATGGGGAGCTCATTACCTTTCAGACTATTATAATTGTTAGGAAGTTTTAGTCTTTACCCTGGGCCAGAAATCTGTCTCCCAGATGTGTCCGTGCATTGGGTACAGCTTGGCCCTTTGGCTTACGAAGACTAAATCTGCTTCCTCCCTACCCAGCAGCACTCTGGATATTCAAAGAAAACTTTTATTTTTTACGCCAGTGTTCCCCAAAGTGTGCTGGGCAGAGTAGTAAGTTTGCCCAATGTTAATGGGTGTCCTCTATAAAAAAAAAAAATCAAAACAAACAGACAAAAGACCACAAATAGCATTCTGTAGGCATGCTAAGTTAAACCAGGTCAACCAGGTCTGTTTCCCACAAGAGTGCTCAGAACATTTACCACGCTTCTGCGTAGTGTGAACTCCAAAATGGGAAGGCTGGCCATGTAATGTTTCCCAAATTTTCGACCTTGAAAGCTTTCTTTTTTTCTCCCAGAGTATCATTTGCTATTTTCCATATATACTATTAGAAAAAAGTGTTTGGAAAATGCTTCCCTACAAAAATCTAGGTTCTTATTATCATTGTCTCCAAGCTAGAAAGTCAGGCTTCTCTAAAGATTCCTTTTGAGACACATCATTGAGATTTCCTCACTATCTTTGCTCTTGTTCTCTAGTGTAGGGCTGTCAGATAAAAATTCAGGAAGCCCAGTTAAATTTGAATTTCAGATAAACAGTGAAATTTTTTTTTTGGTATAAGTATGTTCCAGGCAATATTTGGGACATATTTATATGAAAAAAGAATTTGTTGGTTATCCAAAATTAAAATATAACTGAATGTCCTAGATTTTTATTTGCTAAATCTGGCAAGCATAGAAGGGCCCCAAATGTCCCCCTTCCCTTGAAAAAATGTGGCTTCAGAATTGCACACAATACTCCAAGAGATGTACCAAGACTGAGACCATTGGTAACCTTGGAAGCCACTGTCAACTACACGTTTCCCTGAGATGTGTTTATTTTTATTATTTTTTAAATTTATTTATTTATTTGAGAGAGAGAGAGATCACGTGGGTGGAGGGGCAGAGGGAAAGAGAGTCCTGAGCAGACTCCGCACTGAATGCAGAGCCTGATGCAGGTCTTGATCTCACCACCCTGAGATCACAACCTGAGCTTAAACCAAGAGTTGGGCGCTTAACTGACTGTGCCACCCAGGCGCGCCTCCCTGAGGTGTTTTTAAAAGGAAGACAGTAATATTTTTATGGATGATTAGGAGTCAGTCTGAGGTTGACATATACCTCAGCAGATTTCCTAGTCCTAGTAAAATCCTGACAACCAATTTAGTATATTTAAGTTTCTCTGGTGTTAATATTGAGGAATGTGATCCAAAAATGATTTACAATTCCCTTTTCATTGTCTGTCTTCTCCATTAGACTGTAAGAAACTAAAGCACAGGGACCCACCATGTCTATCTTGGTCATAGTTCCATCCCTCGTCGCCAGCACAGGTTCTGCCATTTATAAGTGTTCAAACATCTTTTCAAGGAAGGAATGAAGGAATCAAGCAATCAATCAAATGTTGTTTGGAGAGCTAAGTAAATCAGATAAGCTGACACTTGGAGGGGAAGCAATTGGCAATATGTCCTCCATCCCAAGTTTTCTCAGACCTGTTAAATACCGTTCACCTGTGCTGAAGGCAAATCTGTTGGAAGATGTGTGTGCAAAACAAGAACATCTAATTCCTATGACTAAAATAAGATATTTTAGCCCAATACGAGCTGTTCTCAAGAAGTTGAAATACTTCCTGGAGACTGCAATTTTTACTGAGGTGTGGAACTTGGCTCTTTGAAGCAGGCTGGGCTGTGCCCAGTGGGCATGGGATTGGGGCAAATCACACCAGGTCTTCCCACAGAAGCATCCTGGTCCAAGAGGAATTGGGCAAAGCGAACAAGCATGGCCTCAGTGAGCCCTGCGCTGCCCAGCTGGGTAGGTGTGTGATCCCATGGCTCCCACTTGTTGAAAGTACATCTGGTGACTGGCAGGAGGAACCCGAAAGGTCTGGAGCTTTTGCTCTAAGCCACAGTTGACAGAGATGAGCACTGCCCTCTCTCAGCATGAGCTCACCCAAGCTTGGGGCTTGTCAATATTGAAAGCATCCTGGGGACTGTCTCGGGAGCAGGCAGTCACTTATCTGAAGCTTGGCAGCTGTGGCTTCCAGTGCTAGGGAGCGTTAGCACTGAATTTATAAGATAAAATGCAGCAGAAAGCAGAGAAGTACGATAAGAGGAGCCTGAGTCCTAGAAGGGTAGCTGAGTGCGGGAAGACTTGTGTTATTTCCTGACTGAGCATGAAGACCTAAATTCAAGTCCCAACCCTGCCATGTGGTAGCTCCATGCCCTTAAGCAAATCCTGTAACCTCAGTGTTTTTTGTTTTGTTTTGTTTGTAAGATTTTATTTATTTATTTATTTGAGAGAGAGTGAGTGGGGGGAGATGCAGAGAGGGACGAGCCAACTTCGAGCTGAGTGCAGAGACCGAAGCGGGGCTCTATCCCACGACCCTGAGATTATGACCTGAGCTGAAATCAAGAGTTTGGACACAACTGATTGAGCCACCTGGGTGCCTCTCACCTCAGTCTTTTTATCTGTGAAAGGGGAACAAGCATGCTGCCCTCAGAGTTGTAAGGATTAGATAAGAGGGCAGATAAAAAGTCCTTTGTAAACTGCCAAGTGCTAGATCAATATGAGGGATGGTTACAGCACAGCGTCCCCTTGAGCACCGGGCTATTGTCTGCAGCACTTGATGGGTCTGATATGCTTGTGGCCAGGGTAGCATAAAAGAGCACCCAACTGGGAGAAAAGAAGGATGTTCCTTACACAGCCTGAAGCAAAATAAGAAGAGCTTCAAATTACATTATATAATTCTTTTTAATTATAGAAGAAAACATTTCCCAGCACACACTGGAAAACATCAAATCTCAGTGGGTAGGAGTCTTTAAAGTATATATAAAAAAAAAATCACTCAGGAACGTCTTTATGGCCTTAAGATGTCAGGCTCTAGGTGAGCCTTGAAATCGGCATGAATGTTCCTATTGATCGCCCTGGAGTCTGTCGCTAGCTCTCATTAAGGCCCGTACAGGCTTTGCTGGTAAACAGGAGCAAACGCACACAAGTGTAGTTCCAGTTCATCGGACGGAAAATAATGCAGTGTTGTGGCTGAGAAATTACTCGTTGCTTTCTCTGTTGAGAGATGTTACACCCACCAGAGGAAAATTTGTCAACGAGCAAATATATGTGTACATGTGTTTACTGTGCCAAAGCAGTAAGCATGCAGTGGGACATCTTGCCTTGGAAGGCTTTCCTGCCAGACTTTGTCTGTTTCTTCCTTCAGTGTCACATTTCGTGCAGTGGTTCCTTATGGAAGGCACTACTTGGGGTCCCACCACAGTTGCCACCGGGACCTGCAGACCTCTGATTTCCCATCGTTACATTTTCTTCGTGGTACTGCCGACTCTGGGCAAAGGGTGTTCGGGCTTGGAGCTGGGCAGAGGCTCTGCTTACAGCTCTGGGAGGGCACAAGGCAATCTTTATGCAACCCAACCTGCCCATCCTCCCCTCCTTGCCCAGGCCGAGAATAGTCAATAATCATGTTCTGAAGGAAACCCCACCTTGTCATGGTGTGCTCCGAGCCAAGAGGAGTGGGAGAGGAGCAGGAGGCCAAGCCTAAAAGCCCAAAGCTCCAAAGTTAGAGGGTTTGGATTGGGTCTGATACACCACTAACCTAATCCCCACCCCAAGGACTGGCTTAGGCCTGATGATACCCAGTGAGGAATATGTTCCCACACCTCCCAATGCCCGCTAGGTTATACCATGCACATAAATACATAAGAGTGTATTCAGAGAGGCAGTGTTTTTAAGTGAATATTTACAGGTAAAAGTGTGTTTCTAAGAAAACACACTCAAGTGTCCCTGTGAACCCATGTGTGTGCCCTTATCTACGTGAGAGTGTCTTGTAGAGTAGATACAAATCTGATCTCTACTGTAAACATATCAGTGATTTCTAAAAGCTTTTGGGACAAAGACCCAAATCTTTAGTGCGGCCTAAAAGTCCCTTCACGTGTGGCCCCGCTCTGCCTCTTTCGGGCTTACCCTGCACCCTGCCTTGCTCTCCCTCTCTGCACACCGACTAAACTGACCTCTGCTCAGTCTTCTTATGCACGAGGTTTCCTATTACCACAGGACATTTGCACATGCTTTTCTACCTGAGTGGCCTGCTCTTCTCTCCTTTCTTTTTCAAGAAATTATCTAGCTATCCTTCAGCTCCCAGCTGAAACCTCAGTTCTTTGGGGGAACCCTTAGTGAGCTCTTAGAATTAGTCAGATTCCTCAAAACACCACCTATCTCCTCCATAGCACTGATCACAGTTACAACTTGGCATGCATTTTTAAAAAAGTTCTCTCTCTCATTACATACCAACTCAGTAAGGGCAAAGATAAACTGTCTTTGTTCACTCACTGTTCTTCAACACCTAACAATTCCTGGCACTCAATAGGAATTCAGTACACGTGCATTAAATCAAGGGGTCTGCACATGGACCTGTGCCTACTTTGGCAGCAGTGGGCCCTTGATTACATGACGTGGCATGTTTGCTCATTAGGAGCACACAAGAGTGTACTTAGGAATCCCTACATGTGTTTTTCTCTAAGGTTTAAGTCTGAGTATGTCTGTGTCCTATATGTGTGTACATATTCGGGTGGGAGTACACACAAAAGAACCTAGATGTGGCCACACTGCTATGTGGAAATGCGTGTGTGTGTGTATTTGTGTTGACATGGGTATAGGCATCAATGTAAAAGTGTGTGTGTGTGTGTGTGTGTGTGTGTGTGTGTGTGTGTGTGTTTATTTGGGTGTGTGGAGGTATATGGGTGAATATGTGTGAATCATACTCTTCTCTGCAGCTGGCTGGGACCCCCGTCAGGTTTCTAAGTAGCAGGGTTTATGTACATTGGGCAAATAGATTCATATAGACTTTAGCATGATTTGGCTTAACCAAGGCATGGTGTCAGGGAGGAAGGAGCACTAGACTAGGAGCCCATCACTGCAACAGAATCCCTTTTCCTCCTGTCCTGCTACCTTCTGGTCTACTGCCGAAAGTTTGGGACTGGGCATTTTATGGTCAGTCGGAGTAATTCTTTATCACTTATAAATTGTTTTCATCTACATTGTTTTATTTGGTAACACAGGAAAATTAGGATTCTGTTTATTTGATAGGATGATTTTTTTTGTGAATGTATGCAACTGTACAGGATCATTTCTTTTGTATGCCTACATTTTGTGCTCTTTAGTGGGAAGGGCAGGGAAGGGAAGACAGTGCTGGTTTTAGGTCCTCAAATTGCCTCAGAGCACCTCAGAGCATCGCAGTCCTCTGGGAGATATTGTGGCAAAATACAGATTGCTGGCTCCCAACCACAGTCCTGTCAGATTAGAATCTCAGGGATGGGGGCCAGGAATGTGCATTTCCTCAGAAATTCCCCCAGATCATTTTTGGGACCCCCTGCAGTAAAATAAAATAGTGCCAAGAAACTCCTACCTAAACTACCTAAACTGTTATCACTTAGCCCTTTCACGATCCTATAGAAAGAGATTTGTAAGGCTGGCCACCTCAGGCTCTTGAGGTTCACCCTCAGTTCTGTGAGGCTGTGGAGGCCAGGTGATCATTTGGAATTACAGAGAGACACTGGGAAGTGAAACAGGAAAGAAGTCTAAATGTGGTGAACAGAACAGACTTAGAATTGACAATGTATCTCAGAGAACTGTGAGCACCTCTTAACCCAAACAAAACAATAAAAGCCCACCCACAGATGGTCAGGCTTGTTTGCAGTACCTAGGAACACCTAATAAGATTTTTATAAAGAGGAACATTCGGCGGTAGAACAGAGACAGAATGGGCCCAATGAAGAAAACTCTCCAGACAAAGGCAGTTATGGTTGAAAAGAAAGCAAGAGTTCCCTAGGACCCTAATTTTGCTTTGTCATGAGTATGGCTGTTGTGATTTTAAAAACTGTTTTCTCTTCCTGGAGAAGTGAATATATTCAGAAACGCCAGTCTTCCTCCTCTCAGCACTGGAACAGTGCTAATAGAACCAGCCAGGAGAGATGGTCCCTTCCCAGCCCCTGGTACCTTGTCACCAATCCCACCTCTTGGAGCCTGGGGTTTCTTAGTACACTTGGGAAGTAATGGGCTTGCTCAGCACCCATCCCACCTGGATATTCTCGAATGTGAAATCTCAGATACTAACACAGACCTGGGCAGAGAGATGGGGAAAACACCCCAAAGCCAGATGTCAAGAGCTTCCTGCCATAACGGTCAGGATTTGACTCAGTGCAAACCAGTGTGCTGGTACCAGGAGCCCATCTCTGCCTCCTGCCTAGCAGGGGAAGCCCGCAAACAGTGCCTGAATGATGGTGAAAGACGGGGGGCAATCTGGTTTCCTCGTTCATACTTCGCCACAGCCTACCCCCCACTGGCATGGGCTTGCCTCTCAGTCACGAGGCTCAGAAATTAATCAGGCCTCAGGAAAAGAATCCCTGGAGAATGAAACCAAGTGCACCCAGTAAAAATGTCTTATCATCATCCTCTGTCCCCTTCTCTCTGACCTGACCCCCGCAAGAGAGAAAGATGGCATATCCTAGCGGTGAGGCACATGGGCTCTGGTTCAGAATACCTCCGTTTCACTCCAGTGGGTCGTGTCATCTTTGGCAACTTAGTTAACCCCTTCGAGCCTCAGTTTCCTTATTTATAAAAGGAGGACAAACACAATGGTACCCATTCTGTAGGGCTGGGGTGAGCACTAAATGAGATCGTGCACAAAAATTGCCAAGCACGATGCAGAGTTCATAGTAGCACTCTGGAGTTCTTAGCCATTATTCTCACGAGAGGTGCACCGTGGAATAGAAGTCTGCTGTTGTACTTTTCAAATAATAGGTTTTGGTCACTATATAACTTGAATAGATTTATTTTAACAGAAGTCAACTAGCTGGGCTGGAGGCATTTAATAATGCCCGAGGAGTTCAGTGGTCAGTTCCCTATGCTCTGAAAGCAGACTAGAGCTCATTTGCAGAAAGCATGCTTTCCAAGAGACAAGTCTTGGAAAAGAAACATCTTTTTCGTCAACTAGCAAGGAAGTGGGGGGCATTCTGTTTAATTGACAGAATTTATCTCTGTAAACTTATTCATCAAAATGTGATCCTTGGACCGCCGGTGTTAGAGAAACCTGGGGGAACTTGCTAGAATGCAGATTCTTGGGGCCCAGCTCAGACTTCCCAATCCAATGCTCTGGGAGTGTTGATTCCTCTGTACCCTGAAAGTTTTAAAACTGTTGGACGCTGTATATTGCCAGGTTAGTTATGATATCTGGATCGTATTATACATAAAATATATTCAAGGAGGAATTTGTAAAATTATTATCAGTGGGTCCAAAGTTGTATTAATAATCTAATTCATTTTTATTTAAAAATGTATCTATGCGTGTTGCATAGCCAGGCTTAGGACAAAGACTGGAAGCATACACATCACGTTTAACAATGGCTATCTCTAGGGGCGCCTGGGTGGCTCAGTCGTTGGGTGTCTGCATTCAGCTCAGGTCATGATCTCAGGGTCCTGGGATCGAGTCCCGCATCGGGCTCCCTGCTTGGCAGGAAGCCTGTTTCTCCCTCTCCCATTCTTCCTGCTGTGTTCCCTCCCTTGCTTTCTCTCACTCTGTGAAATGAATAAAAAAAAAAATCTTAAAAAAAAAGAGGTCCAAAAAAATTAAAAAAAAAAAAACAATGGTTATCTCTAGGTGGTAATGTTATGGGTGATTTATCTCATTTGGGGCTTTCCTCTATTTTTAAATGTTCTACAAAGAGCATCTATTACCTTTTTAATGAGAAGAAAATGTGCTTTTAAAATAAAAGCATTGCAGCTAGATGTGCAGCTTTGAACACTTTCTGAAATCTTACAGAATTCTGGAAGAAGGAAACACAAGACTCATGGAAACCAAACTGTCTCTCGTTCAAGAGGATGAAACCAGGTTAGAGAATGAAAGTGACCTGGCCGCCGTGGCCCAGCTGGTCAGTGGCTGGGCTGTGAGAGACGCCAGGTCTCCAGGCTCTCGGACCAGAGGGCTTTGAAGTGTTCCACGCTTTCCAGGGACCTGCCTCCCTTCCTTCCCGCCCTGCGAGGGTGACGGAAAAACCACAGGAAGGAAGTGCACTGATTCCGAGGGTGGAGAAGTATGTAATAGCCTTTGCAGAGGGGACTTTGCAGCTCTCATCATTCTCTCTCTGGGAGTTAGTAGGTCATTTGCAAAAGCCATGGGAAGAGCAGCTGATGAAAAGGTCTAATAGTTTGGAAAACTGCTTAACCTTATTTCTCTATTTCTGGATTTCCCCCAATGGCCAAGGACTGTTGAGATCCTGATTTCCCCCGGAGGTTTCCTGTTTAGGAATGCAGTGAAACCTCTGAAATCCAGAGGAATTGGGGAGAAGGCCAGCTGGAATTAGGGAACAGTCTGAATACTTTTTAAGAACATTCAGGTCTATTGTCTTCAAGGACATGGAGACACAGATTTGGAAGGAGCTTAGTCCAGCGCCTGCTTGGTGCAGGAACCCTTTGTGCTTCATCCCACACAGAGCTTTGTTTGGGCTTCTCTTGAATGCTTCCAGTCATAGGAGGCTCACTCTTCTGACAGATAACCTACTTCGATCTTAGTCTTTTTTTCACCTGGGCTGGGAATCTACCTTCCTCTAAGTTTCTGCTTGCCTTCTGGTGTTCATATAAAATTGATGTGCTCCTACTGGGTGTTATGCACAAACAATGAATCATGGAACACTACATCAAAAACTAATGATGTAATGTATGGTGATTAACATAACAATAAAAAAATTGGTGTGCTCCTTTCCCCCCAAATGGTCCTTAAATATGTGAAGGCAGGTACCGTGCATCAAATAGGTCTTCACAACAGTCTCCTCTGCCAGCCGACCACCCCCAGGATACTCAATCATTATTTATATGACAAATGTCATCCGTTCTAGTTAGAATTATGAACTACTGGCTGTACTTAGCTTCTAAATTAATGACTGTCTGAATTCATACTTGAGTGGAGCTTAGAGACCCCCTGCACTGGCCTCATGATTTTACAGGTGAGCAAACTGAGGTCCACTGAGGAAAACGGCCTGACCCAACATGGGAGAGAGAGAGAGAGAGAGAGAGAGAGAGAGAGAGCAAGCCTGAGTGGAGACCTGAAACCTCTCTGCCTGAATCCCAGATCAGGCCTCTTTTTACCTCACCCTGCCTCCTATTATTCAATAAGATACCAGTATTTCTCAAGCCCTTGAGAGTGCTTGGGAAGTTTGTTCTCTTAGGTATTTCAAAAATGGCTCCTTCAAATTGTATTTGCACTGTCAGTGAAGGAGGGATTAGCGCAGGGCAGAATTTCGTGGACGTGATACTGTCCGTGAAAAGTCTCGTTCCAAGTGCATTCACTGAACTTGCTCTCCGCTGTCAGAAGACCGTCTCCCTGGCCCTGGAAGGTGAGTGCCCAAAATGAACAGCAGCCCTGAGAGGGCCGCCTCGGCCTGCCCCATTTCCCATCAGGTCCCAGCCGCCCGCTCCATTTCCGAGAACTTCCTAACTTCGGAACCAAAAGTGAATTCGGGATGTGAGGCTGGCTGTGTTTCTGCTCCACCCTGGTGCTCCTTTTAAAGTTTCAGATCCTCTTTTCAGCGTTGCCTGATTCTCAATGAAAAGACAAAGCAAAGGCTCGGAGAAACAAACTAGGCACTTGGGTGATTGGTTTCCTGTCCCAGTCCCCGGCAGCCCTGCAGTCACATGCTCCGAAGGGCACATTCCTTCCTGCCCCAGCCCACAGCAACCTCCCTCTTCTCTCAGCAAGGTATTGCGTTTCAAGCTCTTACACTCTTTCTGGCATGGATTATGAGCTGCCTTGGGCTGCTTCCTGGTCTGCAGGGGTTTGGACTCACGGGGACCCGGGTTCCAGTCTGACTGCAGCTAGCCAGTTTGTGCAGCTTTGGAAAGTTACTTAATCTTTCTAAGCCTCTGTCGTCCCATTTGTTAGGAGAGGACAATTATCTTGCCTACATCATAAGGCTGTCCAGATGATGTAATGCCTAAAAAGGTGTCTAGCACTGTCCCGATCATTTAGTAAGATTCCATAAAAGGGATCTGTTTAGTATTATTCATCTTCTGCTACAGAAGGTAGAGATTGAAGCCTCTACTCTTCTCACGCTGCTCACAGTAGGTGCTCCATAAATGCACCTGACTGATTCTAGCCTGCGCTTCTTTTGGTGGTAGTTTCACCAGAACTATGCTAAGCGTTGCGTGACACCAGGTCCTACTTCCAAGCCCCCTTTGCCCCAGATTCCTTCCCCTGGTGGTGACCTCAGTGGGGAGGCCCACCCTGACCCGCCACTTGGAACACCTGCCAGCTTGCATCTCAGGATAAGGTTCTCGTTTGACAGATTCTGAGAACTTGCTGTCCAAGCAAAGAAAACTTTATGATGATGAATCCAACACAAACCTTATGTAACCAACCTGTCAGCAAATGGAGGGACAGAGGGACACCGACAAATGCCTGCCCACCTCCCCCCACCCAAAGCGCAAAACAAAAGATGACAGAAAGCAAGGGATTGAGACCTGCCTAAAATGCCTGTTTGTCAAGACCCTTAAAACCGATCAAAGTTTTTATATTAAAAGGATTCCTAAAGGAATATGGCTAAACTCCCTTGTACCTGAATTTTAACTGAAATTACATTAGATGCTTCTCTAACCAAAAGAATATATATACAACATTTTTTTTTTTTAAAAACAATGTTTATTGTCCACGGGACTTACAGCGATGACAGAAAAGTTTACAACAATTTCTACTTGAAATTTCTACCTGGAGTGGCTTGGAATTCCTGGTGGGCTAAGGAATCTTGTAGCTTCCCCCTAAACACTGAGGATATCCTAGTAGACTCTTGCTGAGTAAAAGAACAATTCTTTCTCTTGCCCCTATTGCGGATTATTTGGTCATTGCCTGAATTTTGTGCTAAGGACCTGAGAGCAATAAAAACATCCACTGAAAGGAGTTTGTTATAGGACAGCCCCAGGGAAAAGCTTCCACAATTGAGGGTGAGGACAGAAGTCAATGACCATGCGGTGGAGGGAACACAGCTGTTCCTGGAGTAATAGCCGACAGTTGGCTTCTCCGGCTGTAGCCCGTCTCTCACATCCTTGGCTTCTTACCTTGGGCAGGTCATTCCCCCTCACAGATTTTTCATCTCCTCGGATGCCCAATGCTTTCTATGGGCTCTTGGAAGTCCAAGATCCGGTGAGGCCACCAGGAGGGTGAAGATTAGCTGGAGAAGCGACCCACACCCCTGGGTCGGGGGCCCAGAGCAGGTGGAGAATGTGAGAACGGGCAGGTAGGCCCTTGGAGAAAAAGCAAAAGCGCTGAAGGGCAACCACTTTCCCATTTGTCATGGCACGTTCCAGAAACTCGGGCACCTAGCTTTCTCCCGAGAGCTGAGTGTGCACCCGGACACCCATCACTGAGCTGACAGGAAGCAGAGGAAGCCAATGCTTTTCTGGCTGGGGACCTTGGCTGGGACAGAAGGGAAGAAAGAAGTGGAGTCAGCTTCAGGAGCGGGTGAAATGGCAATGAACCTGCAGGCTGATCCTCTCCAGGCTGGCGTTGCCGAGGAGGACGGTCCACTCTGTCAAACCTGGGCCAAGTTCTGGCTCAGGCACACAGGCAAAAATAGAAAGGGGGTGGGAGAAGAAATGTGTTTACTTTTGTGATTTTCCCTCCTGTGCCTCTTCACAGTATTTGAATCTCTCCACAAAAAAGCCGTAGGACTCCCAGGCCTGGCTTCCACGGATAAGCCCCACCAAACACTGCACGTCCCCCGCCCCCAAATACAGTCATTGTCAGGGCGACTGGAAGGTGAGTTCGGAAGGCAGCATGGGGGTGGAGGGAAGAGCGCTGGCCTGGGGTCTGTCACTAACTGGGCGACCCATGGAAAATCCCTCTCGGATGCTCTGCAAAATCAAGTGGTGGCATTAGACAGAATCTAAAAATCTAAACAGATTTCTATCTGTGATTCTCAACCAGGGGTGACTTCACCCCTCGAGGAGTATTTGGCAAGGCCTGGAGACATTTTTGGTTGTCACAATTCAGAGGGCGCTCCTGGCATCTAATGGGTAGAGGCCAGGGATGCTGTTGGACGTCTGACCGCACACAGGACGGCCCCCCACCACGGAGAATCATCTGGCCCGCGAGGTTAATAGTGCCGAGGCTGAGAAGTCTGGCTTTATACCCGAGTGAGGAGGGTCAAAGGGAGAGGGGGAAAAGAGACAGAAGTAAAGAAGGAGGAGGGGCTGCAGTCCCCTTCCGAGCTCATGAGGTATTCATCGGGTAAGTGTTTTCCAGCTTTCTCCCTATGACCAGTGCCCTTTTCAGTTTCCCTTGGAATTACCGGGCTGTGTTTGAGTGGCTTGCTCATAAGAGCTTCTTTCTTATCTTTAAAATACCAAACCCTGATGCAGTGCAAAGATCTCCACTATAAGATGCAGCCAATATATAACAAAAGCAGCTATTAAACAAGTAGGACTGGAAGGTGGGTGGCAGGGGTGCACAGAGGGACAAAACAGATGCCCATAAGTCCGTTTCTATGAGTCAGTGTTTCTGCTGTAACAACACAGAATCATCACCATAGGACCTGTGAGACAAGCTATGCTGACGGCAGGCAGAACTGCTCTGAGGCACTGGCATTAGGAGAGATACAGGTTTGCGGCGGCAGATTCAAAGGCAAAGGAAAGGGTTAAGCAATCAGTGCATGCCATTCCTGTATCATTCCATATTAAGTCCCTGGGCAGTTATTACAAATAGTTACCTGCGGTTTCCAATGGGGGAGGCGACCACACTCCGGTCAAGGGGTTTTGGAGAAACAGGTGCAATGAAGTCATGGTCAAACAATTTATTTACTGTAAACTTTAGACTTTGCTCAGGAACACAACTGAAGTTGCCCCTCAAATCCCTGCCTACAACACCCTGTTTGAGCAAATAAGAGGAGCGGGGAGAGTCCGTGTTCACAGCTGAAAGGTCCAAGATACTCAAGGTCCTCCAGTGCAAGGGTGCAGGAAGGAAAGACTCCTTCACATACAAATTACCAGCAGCAATATATATTACCCCTAATACTTGACCAATGAGGTAGATCCACAGAAAAGTCATCAAAACATAACAGCCCCAGGTCCTCTGGGACTGAAGCCCTTCAGACACAACCTGACATGTTCCATGCAAAAAAAGGAACTGAACTGTACAAGAAACAATCACTCGAATATGCCTTCTCTTTTTTACAGCTTAAAAAAATAAAAAAAGGCAGAAGGCTGTCCTTCCTCCTGCACATCTCTATACAATTTTATTCTAAATGTATTACACTCAAGTTAAATAGTCTGTTTAGTGTTTTGTTTGGGGGGGGATTCATAAAAAGTAGAAAAACTGCATTAGAGCAGTGAGTCGTTTGTACTACAATTCCTCCCTTGCGAATCAATGCTATCGTTAGGCACAGTACCTTGACGGTTCACAAGGTCTTCCGTGCCTGGGGGGTCCTCACACAGCAGTTCGCTGTCTTTCTCCTGCCCCAGGTGACATCCACTGTGCTCCCCAGCATAGTCGGTTCTGCTGTTACTGTTGTTGGAGTAGCCATTCCCACAGGCCTTCAGAGAAGACCTGCGCAGGCACAGAAGCTCCTGGAAGGCAATCCTGAAGTCTGGGCTCCGGCAATAGATAAGGGGATTGAAAGCAGAGTTGACATAGCCCACCCAGTTTAGAAGGATGTAAACTTCCTTGGGGATGAGGTTATCCTGGATCACGTGCACTATGTTGACGATGAAGAAGGGCAGCCAGCATAGGGTGAAAGTGCCCATGATGATGCCCAGAGTTTTGAGGGCTTTGTGTTCCTTCAGGCAGAACTTGGAGGCCCTGCGATGTCCATGCCCGCTCCGCCCATCGTGCTCCACTTGGCTGAGGTTTTGGGCATGGAAGCGGCCCTCAGATTTGTCTATCTTCTGGAGCTGCCTTTGGGCCACCTGGAAGACCCTGGAGTAGACGAAGACCATGACCACCAGGGGAAAGTAGAAGGACACGATGGAGGAGGCAATGGCATAAGCTTGGTTCGTGAAGAAGTCACAGCAGGTCTCCTTGGCGTAGCAGTTGATGGCTTCCTGGTGGGTGGCCCGGTACCAGTGCATCTGGATGGGCAAGAAGGAGGTAAGGCCTGACACGACCCACACCATCAAAATGACCACCCGGGCCTTATTCTTGGTCAGTAGGCTCTGGTACTTGAAGGGTGATGTGATAGCAAAGTAGCGATCCACTGCGATCACGCACAGGGTCTCGATGCTGGCCGTGACACACAGCACGTCAATGGAAGTCCAAAACTCACACCAGAAGTTGCCAAAGGTCCACATTTTCATGAGGATGTGGCTGGCCCCAAAGGGCACCACCGCCAGGCCCATGACCAGGTCAGCGCAGGCCAGGGAGGTGATGAAGTAGTTGGTGACCGTCTGCAGACGCTCGAACCTGGCGATGGCTGTGATGACCAGCACATTTCCAAACACGATGGCCAGGACGATGAGCGACATGACGATGCCCATGCCCACCACCCACGCCTCGTTCCGTTCCTGCGTGCCATCTTGGTCCGGCGCGTGGCTTCCGTTGGGCACCAGCAAGAAGACGCTGCGGTTCCCGGGCTGCCCCATGGCGCGCAGGCTGGCAGGTGAGCGCACTGGCTGCGGGCGCACCCGCCGCGCCTCAGCGGGCGGACCTCCGGCGCGGCGCTGCGGGCAGCGAGTGGACGCCGGGAAGCCTCATTCAGTGGCCGGGGGGTGGCTGTGCTGGGGGCGCGTCCTGCACTCAGCTTGCGGTGTGCTGCGGGCTCCCCGTGCGCGTTGGACCCGGCCGGCGCTCTGGAAAAGCCGCCCCGGAGTGCGCGCTGCCCGTTATGTGCACAGGACTTTAGGGAACTGCCCTCCCCGTGACGTGCGGCAACTTTCGGCCAATGGCGGGCGGGCAGTCCCGAAAGGGCGAGGTCCCCTCCCCTCCCCGTCCTCCCCTCCCCTCTCCCGCCCCCTCCTGGGGCTGGCCCGGGCGGGGCCCAGCTGCCTCCGGGTGGCGGGCGGGCCACCTCTCCCTGCCGGGCTCCCCGGCTGGCCCCGAGGCCTGCAGCTGGGGCTGGCGCGCTCACCCGCCGACCCTGGAGCCTTGGGCTCTTCTGGGGGCTGCTACCTATCTGGCCCGGGCGCCTGGGCGGCCGCTCCCCAGCATTCAGAAACAGAGACGACAGTGCCCACCCAGACACGCACGGACAGGCACACAGGCACCCCGACAGACATGCTGAGACTTATACAGAACCACAGCCACCGACACGGAGACACACCCGTCCAGCGCACCCAAAAGCACACTCGCGTGCGCGCGCACACAGAAACCCACAGGCACAAAGTCACCCCTGTCCAACAGAGACGGGGCCAAGAAACAAACACAGAAGCACCCAGAAGCGCAGAGGCATGGGCACACACACAGAAAGAAGTAAACAACACACAAACGCTCGCTTGGGGGGCAGGCAGAGCGCCACAGATTCGGACGTCCCCGTCCAGGTACTCCAAACCCCCTCACTTGTGCATACGACCCCCAAAATCCCCCTCCCCCCGCAAAACACACACACACACACACACACGCACACACACACACACGCACACAGGGCACATTCCCTTTCAAACATTTGGCAGGACCACAGGAGGTGACTTCAACAGCTGCCCGATTTCCTCAGCGCGCTCACTGTCAAATACTTTTGGTGCCCTCCTTGGGAATTTGCAGGCATTGAGACATACAATTTCACCCTTGGTTTTCATTTGGAGCTGGAGCTGGGGTATGTATGTATGCGTTTGGGGACAGAGAGAGAAGGTTGTGCGCTTAGATTTGTAATTCTTGGGAGTGTAGCATCACTCCCTGGTTATCTGTGGGAATGAAGAGGAGTTGAAAATGAAATAATTTTCCTTTTAACCTCATCTTCTTCAGCAAACCCACTGCAACTAGAAAAATCCTTTCATCTGCCATGCAGTTTGTTGATCTGTTGGGTCGAGCCATATGAAATTGCCACTCTTCTGTGGTGTCTAACTTTAAAAGTGTCAATTTTGGCTCAGACTATTAGGATGTTTACATTAAGAAAGTTTTGAAACCACGGGAAAGAAGATAATCTCTCCTTTAAAAAAAAAAAATCAGACCAAGCCTTCAGACTAGGGTCTTTGTCCAGGAACTATTATCCTTTGCATCTGGCGTATGACTTTACTGTTAAAAAGAAATTAATTTTCAGGGTTTGATTTCACAAGTATTAGTAGCTTCTTTGAAAGACTGAAAGCATTTCATGCAGTGTAACCAAACATGCTTTGTAGATTACATAATAACATAACAATGGCTAACATTTAGGGAACATTCTGCTATGTACTTTTCATGCATTATTCCATTTAATCCTTCCCACAGTCCCATGGTGGGGGGAGTACTATTTTTAGCTTAATTCACAAATGGGGCTCAAAGAGGAAAATAGCTTGCCCAAGGGCACAGGGCCAGGCAGTGCCAGAGGCAGGAGATGAACCCAGGTCTTCTTGACTCTAAAACTCATCTTTTCGAAGTACACTATCATCACATGCAGAGGGGAATGGAGGCTAGACAAGAGACTACAACCAGAACTGGAATACTCAGGTTCCAGACCCCTGTCATAGCACTTTCTAGCTCACCTTCCTTAGGCAAGTCAAAAAGATGGAGCCTAATTTCTTCCAACTCTAAGTGGAGAATAAAGTCACTTCCACTGGACAGAGTGAGAATGGAATATATGATAATAAATGTGAAAGTACTTTTGCACATATATATGCCACACAAATATGGGTTATAAATGAAATGTGTACAAATCACTTAGTAGTTTAGAATGTGTTTTAGTCTTCTCTAATAGAACAATCAAATACTTTAGGACAAAAGTAACTTGGGTGTTTACTGTAGAAGTAAAGCTCAGAAACAAAATTTAACCTGCATGCTCCCTTTAACTTCCTTTACCAGCCGGAGATTGTTTTCGCAGGACAGATGCCTTAAAAAGCAAATATTTCCCATAAAAGGCACAAATAGTAATTAAAGATCAATTATGTTCCCATAGTTTTCAAAATATACCCACCCCATATTTGTGTTTTCCAAAATTGGCTCTGGTATGATGCATTTTAGGAAGAAGCCGTGTCTGTTATGCAACACAGTTTCTTTAAATATACATTTAGCCCAAATTGTGGAACTAAGCCATTTAAAACCTCCTTCCTGTTTGCGAAGCTATGGAATAAATAAGCATATTGTTTAACCTTCCCGTAATGACAACAAAAAGAACAAAGAAAGCCCTTTTAAGACAAACACTAATTGATCATTTAGATGTACATATGAGTCATCTCAAAGTTTAACTTTGAATATTTTGGGAAACACCTTTTTAAAAACCCACACACACTAAATCAAGAGGGGAAGATGACTTATGTCAACGAGGTGGTTCCAGGCTCTTACCCATCAGCTTTCCCAGATGGACAGTCTTTCCTCCCCCCCACCCCTTCTCGCCTTTTCTTTCTCTCTCCCTCCCTCGCTCCCTCTCCCTCTCTTTCTCTCTGCTGCATCACCAAGCTGGTAGGAATTTCAAGATGCTGTCTTCACACCAAGAGTCTTCTCCTGACCTCCTCTTAGAGTTACAGGAGTAGAGAGAGTTAGAATGGGACAGAGTTTAATAGATCATTCAGTTCATTTCCCCCCATCCCCTCCAGTTTGCAAATGAGGAAACTAAAGTGCAGAAGTACAAAGTGTCTAGTCGAAGGTGGCAGGCAAGATAAAGGTCCAGGCCTGCTCCTCACCCAACGCTGTCATTTCATTTCCCAGCAGAGTACTTTGGCCCTACCTGCTCGGCTTGCAAATGCTTCAGCTGAACTGGGAAGTTCTTAGACTACATGCACCTTTATCTGATGTAAGAAAAAGCAGGGTCTTTTATGGTAATTGATAGTGTCTAATTACATATTTTGTCAATCCCTTAAGACACTGATTTGTCATTTCCTGCCTGCCAAACAGGAAAAAACAAAACAAAACAAAACACATTTTGATTTACTGAACAAATGTTTGAATAGGAGTAGGGTTCCATGGTGCCGGGGGATGTCCTCACACCATTAGCTGGACAGCTTAGGAAAATCTAATCCTGTTCTTGGCTTAGAACACATTTCATCTTTATGATCCTCTGAGCAGAGAAACATCTGTAGATTTCTTTCTAAATAATGGTCTTAAATGTCTGTCTTTAATATCACCTCTGTATACCTTCGTCCCATTAAATTTACATTAAAGGAGATTAAATGCATGTAAAGTGTTCAGCCTCCTCCCTTGCAAAAGAGGTAACTCTTACTGTTCTCTTTTTTTTGAATCAAAATGTACATGTAGAATGCACATTGATCTTATCAGATCCTATGTGTGAAAGGACCCTTTGAACATGAGTAATGAGTAATTTGTTTTTAATTGGAATTTCTGTGAAAAAGAATGAAAACAGGGACAAAGCTTGGTGCCTTAGAAAGAAACATGACTGAAAACTTAACCATTACCACTGAGTTATATAATATGCTGGGTGGAATGTTCATGGTTTTTGAATGAAGCGTCTTACAGTCTGACCAGCCCCTTACACAATACATGCACCAAAACTCTCAGACAGCTCTATCGAGGGCAAGCTCACCAGAACCTTCTGCCTTTGTATGTTTCTGACTGTCCAGATAGGGAACTGAAATCCATCTTACAGCTCCTGCCTGTGGATTTTAAGTCTGCCCCCTTGAGGCCACTCGAAACAAGCCTCCTCTCTCTTCCCCAAGACTGTCTACAAGCTTTCAGGAGAATCACTTGGAGTTCTCCTGAGCCTTCCCTTCAGCTTAAATATCCCTTGTTCCCTTGGGTTTGGAGACTTCTTTACCATCATGGCAAATCTATTCATACTTGGGTCTGTCAGTGTCTAAACTTAACATCAGTACCTGGAATGATCATAAACAAGTCCTCAAATAATCAATTTGCCGTCACCTTGGCAACCACAAAGAAGCAGAGCAACCAACAAAGCTTTCAGAACAGCTGATTATACCAGATGAATTTAATTTCCTGCTGTGCTAGCGTTTTATGAGAGACATGCTAATAAATTCCCCACGTCTCAGGGGGACTGAACAAGGGGAGATGGCTTAAATGAAAGCAGGAGAGACTTCAGTTTGTCATATGAAGGGCTCCTTGGCCTGAAAACATCCAAAGAGGCTAACCTCCAGCAACTTTTCTCAGCTGGGGCTTTGCAAGAGAATTAAACCTTGCAGGAAACGGAGTGACTCTTCTTGCCAATTCTCCCAAGAGTGGTACCTAACTATTACCCTCCTAGGGATATAAGAGAGAGATTAAGTTGTGACATCCCATGTAACGGATGCCTTAGGGCATAGGGCTTAATTTTTTTGCTGAATCTGAGGGGCATCGCTTGGCGTCTCCTGCAGATATGGGAATGAATGGTGTGTGATGATGCGCACTTCCGTGTGATGGACCAGTTTGGTGCAGAGGAGGGAACGTGGATGGGGGGATCAGGAGACCCAGGCTCTGGGCCCAGAACAGCTATGACGTTACAAATAACCTTAATCAAGTCACCTCCTTTTTTGAGCCCCAATGTCCATCCATGACATGAGGTTGGCCTAGGTGACATCTAAGGCCCTACTATTCTAAGCTGAATGAGCCTGTTGTGGGAAGGAAGCATGTGGAAGGTCACTGAGGAGTTGAGTTCTTGACTCTGAAGCCACTGAGGAGCTGGCGAGCAAAACCTGTCAATATCCTACAAAACAACTTGGCTATGTTCCCCTCCCCACCCCAGACTTCACCATTGCGATTCCTGCTATTCTGAGTAGCAGGTGTACCATTATTTACTAAATATT